TTTAACCCCTTGTCGTCCGACGGTACTCTCCAGTACCATCATTATTTTTGTTCTTTTAAACAGAATGGGTGAATTTTTTCTACCATGCAGACCAACGGTACTCCAGAGTACAAAATAACAAGCATATTTAACGGCACTTTTTGTCACATATTTTCTATTTTTTCTTTGCATGCTCATTTCAAGTTGGAGTTTACTATAGTGCAGTCGCGAGTTAATAGTGGCGTCTTTTTTTCATTATTTCTAGCAAAGTTTTGAATATTTTTCTACAAAATAAAAAGAAAATATAAGCTTGGTGATTTATTTTTCTATAACTGACGAAAAAACTATCTAGCTCTTGTTTGTTTGTCAGTGATAACTGATTTTCCATTGGAGACTTGTAAGTACCGTTGGGCTCTGCTGGCCCTTGTAGTATTCTCAAATGTAATATGTATATGTATATATGCAATTATATATAGTTTTTAGTTAATCATGTCTGGAGTTTACGGCAGATTTTGAGAGAAAATGAAATTGCTGCAATTTTGGAAGAAATTCCACTCCACAATGGCCAAAACACTGATATTGAGAGTGAGGATGAAGATGAACAAGTGATCCTTTCAAAAGACAGTGAGGATGACATTTTTAATGAGATTCTAAATCAAATCCAGGCAGAAAAAACTGCCGAGGCAAATATATTACTGGAAGATCCCCAAAACGGAGTTCTTGAAGAACCATTGCGAAAATGGAGAAAAGTTGAGAAAATAACAGAGGTTTCACAATTTGACTCACCAGAGGGAACAGTAGTTGGTTATTTTGAAGATATAGATACTCCAACAAAATTTTTCTTGTCATTCATTGAAACTATTGTTGAGGGAATCATATTTCATTCAAATTTATATGCCGTGCAAAAAGACAAAACCCTAAATCTTAAAAAAAAATGAATTCTATGCATTTATCGGCATCAACTTCTTTATGGGTTACCATCAACTTCCAAGTTGGCGACATTATTGGAGTACGAGTGAAGATTTGGCTGCACCCGTAGTTTCCAAAACTATGTCCCGAAATAGATTTGACTCAATATTACGATTTTTGCATGTAAATGATAACTCTAAAATCCCAGAAAACAACAAAGACCGACTATTCAAAATTCGTCCAATAATCGACGCTCTGAACCAACGATTTCAACAGGTATATCATGGAACAAAAGAACTATCAGTTGACGAATCTATGATTGTTTTTAAGGGTAGAAGCGCCATCAAACAATATTGCCCAATGAAGCCAATTAAACGCGGCTATAAGTTATGGTGTTTGGCGGATCAACATGGATATATTAAAAAGTTCTCAATATACCAAGGAAAAGATGAAACTGTTGAAGAAAAGTACGAAGGGTTTGGTCTCGGGGAGAGAGTGGTTTTGTCTTTAACAGAACTAGAGTGGGGAAAGAAAAAGTACGTGTACTTCGATAACTATTTTACATCTGTTAGGCTCCTAGAATTTCTCCAAGCACAAAAGGTTTTTGCATGTGGAACAATAAGAGCAAATCGGAAAGGACTTCCATCAAACATGAAACCAGACAAAAAAATGAAAAGAGGCGAGTTTGATTCACGAACCACAATGAACGGTGTAATTGTTTTTAAATGGATAGATAACAACCCAATATTATTGGCATCTAATTTTCATGGCACTGAGCAAACTTCAGTTCAGAGAAGAGATCGGAAAGGGAAAGAAATACAGGTTAAATGTCCAACTGCAATTAAAGATTACAACTCTTTCATGGGTGGAGTAGACCATGCTGATCAGTTAAGAAGTGCCTACGGGATAGACAGACGATCTAAAAAATGGTGGCATAGATTGTTTTGGGGGCTTCTAGAAATAACGTTCATTAATTCTTACATCGCGTACTGTCAAACTCACGAAAAAATTACTCTGCTAGAATACAGACGGGCCGTGGCCCAAGGCTTAATGACTCAAAAAGATGTTGTTGCCAATAAACGAAGTTTGAGTCTTCCCGTAGCACCATCATGCAAAAAACGACGTGGTAAGAGTGAGTCAGTGGCAAAAGATGTCCGATTAGGTAATTTGGGAGTACATTGGCCTATATTTGTTGAAAGCCGAGGAAGATGTGAAATGTGTAGCATAAACAAAGTTCAGTCAAAACCACATTCGAAATGCCAACACTGCGGCATATTTTTATGCTGCAATGAAAAAAAAAACTGTTTCGCCGAATACCATGGAATTGAAGTATAAAAATTGTATTCTTGAAACCCGACGGTACTGCAAAGTACCATATCCTTTTCTTATACTAAGATGTCCTTGAAATTTATGATTTTTTTTATTGATTAAATATTTTTATGCAAACTTTTTAAGCTTCAACTTTTTTTTCATGTGAGGGGATTTTAAAAAAATACTTAAAAAAAACTAAATTTTTGGAGGTATTTTCAATTCGGTCCAGCAGAAATCTTAATATTTTTCCGAAATATTTTGGTGAAAGTCTTAAAACGTAATATTTACGGTAAAAAAGTACAATTTTTTTTGGTGTGATGCAGTCTAATGTACATACATATGTATGAATGCAGGTATATAAATATGTACTTTAAAAATGTCTGCAAAAAATAACAGCCTGCAATAATAAAAATGTGTATGTATGTATTAATCTAATTCAGTATATTCAACATTTGCATTTTCTTTCTATATTTCCACTAAATTTTTTTGGGGGTGTCTAGGATTTTCCAGTTACTTTTGGGATAATTTTTTGGTATTTTTGGAATTTTCAGGGATGCTTTGGGAGTTATTTGTTTTTCGGGAGTAATCCAAATTTTATTTTTTTATTTTCGGCATTTGATACTTATTGTCCAAAAAAATATGCTCGTTTTTTTTTGTATTTTAAACCTTTACATTTGATTATAAGCAGAAATAACTAGTAATTTTACGTTTTTCGATATTTAAGAATTTTTGACATTTTTGAGAGCTTTTTGGGATTTCCTACGAGGATTTTCCAGGGATTTTATTTACATTGTTTAAGAGATTTCAAGATTTCCGTTGTTTTTTATACTAGTTATTCGGGAGTTTTTTCAAGAAATTGTTTGTGGTCTTTCTCGGACTTGCTGACATTTTAATGTATTTCTAAAATATTTGCAAGTGTTTTAGGAATTTTGGGTTTCGATACTTTTTCGTTGCGTTTTCCATTAATGACTATGTTAGAGGCCAACGTCTGCCAAGTCTACTGGTTACACCGTGCGGCAGTAAATTTTACACACAAAAAAAACTAAGTATAAAAAGTGAGTATATCGATTCTTTCGTGCGTTTTGAAATTTTTGTCGCACGGTGTTATATTAGAAAAACCTAAGTGATTCGTTTATGCTTTTTTGGCTTATTGAACCTATTTTGAGAAGACTAGGTATTTTTGAACTGTGCAGGAGTTTTTTGATTTATTTTTAGATTTTATTGAGACAGCTTTGGATTTTTTTCAGAGTTCGTAAGAAATTTTTCTCGGTAAATTTCAGCATTTGCTAAAGGAGTTTTCGATATTTTTTACGGCTTTTGGAATTTGAGAATTTTCCGGCCTTACTGCGCTAATTCGTTTCTTATGGGAGTTATTTTTTTTTCAATTTTTCGGAATTATCAAGGAATTCATAGGGAATTTTTAAGTTTTCAATTTTCAGTTTATTTTTGATACGCTTTTGATACATTTTCGGCATTTTTATGGGATTTGCTTATTGTTTCAGAAATTTTTGAGGATTTTTCGAAAATTTCAGATTCTGTGATTTATAAGTAAGCAGAATATGTTTTGCACCGGCTTTGTATGTATTCAATGTCATTTGTGATACTCTTAGGGCCGTTTTTACCATCTCTGAGAAACTGGTCCTTAAAGTTTTCATCGCTTCGTTGTGGATTATGAAATTACCGTGACTTAAATTTTAATCTTTACTCATATATTAGAAGATTGGCTGGCTAACTTGGATTTTTCCATTGCTATATATAGAAATGTATATACCTATGTACATATGTATGTACGAACGTTTTCACGTAAAGTATTTACCGCAAAGCTTTGTTACTAATTGCAAACTATTGTCGTGAGCGCTCTTTAGTTCCACTTCAAGTAGGGGATTAGAAGAATTTTTTTGGTGCGGTGCATAAATATTCTCTAATAGCGCTCCGAGTTATGCTACATTTTCTACGCAATAAGTGACATCTATGTATATGTACATATGTATGTTTTGTAGGAGTATTTCTGCAGAATTTTATCAAAAATTTCCGCTGCTCTAAACATCAAAGTCATTAGGTAGCAATGTGCTCACAACACGAAATGTTTCTGGCGAACCTGTATGGCTAAAAGCCTGATTATGGCAACTTAACTTAACTTAATGGAACGTAGAACTGAAGGATTCATATAAAAAATATTTGGTTTTTTTCCAAATGCACCTAAAAGTGTGGGTCTATACCGAATTTTCTTTCAAATTAACCCCTTGTTGCCCAAGCCCAGAAAAACATTAGTTTTCGTATTAATTTTTGTATATTATAATTCATATGCATGTTTTATTAATAAAAATTTTTAACGGAATCATAATGATGAGATTTTTGAAGCTGTTTTTAAACTTTTTTCAAAGATTGGCTTAAGAAAAACTTGAATAACTGTGCCAAAACTTTACCGATTTCGAAATGTATTTTCTCGCTCTTTTTATTGTTTGCAAATAAATGGTATCTAATATGAACGAGCATCATTCCAAGATGAATTAAGATGTCTTGAGAAAAAATAATAATTGAGACGTGAATGGGTTACTTTGTAAAGAAGTAAAAGGGGTGAGAAACTCCATATTTGGAGGTATTTTCAAATTAATACAGCTCACGTTAATCTTAATAATGTTCAGAAATATTTCGGAGCAAGTCTTAAAATGTAATCGATTTTGTAATCCCACAACTTTTTTTTTGGTGATGCAGTCTAATGTACATTCAACATGCATACATGCATATGCACGTGCGAACATGCATCTAATCTATAGATTTTTTTTTTGCTCAACCCCTAGGTTTAATCAACAGTGGTTACATACGCATTGAGGACCAAATGGTGGACATATCGTCGAATAAACCTATACAGGTAATTACAAAATGAAAATGTAATAATTTTTTATATACATAAGTAAATTTATTTTCATTTTGATACATACATAAGTACAAATTAAACTGACAGAAATGAGCTTACATAGTTTTTTTTTTAACTTTCCTCAAAATTAGGAGTAAAATTCTGCAACACCCATTCTTATCTGCTCTTTGATATGAAATGAGAGAAAATGAGAATTTGTGTGTGAGTTTGAATTTTTAATTTTAAAATTATATAACTTGAAAACGTCAGACAGCCTCTCAATGGTTTTGCCTTGTAATGTTTTTATAATGGCTCGATTCAATGACCATCCAACGATACTACATTTTTGTAATTATTTAGAGTAAGAAACAGTGAACTTATTAATAATTTCGCTGACCTAACTTCACCGTTTTATCAATATTTGCCACGCTCATAAATATTAAGAACAAAAAATTTATTATTATTAAGCCCATTCTGCCAGTTTCAGTATGAAATTAGGCTGTATATACACATATGTGGGTACATTACATAAATAAATACATACATAAAATTAATTAAGAATAAAAAAATTAAATAAGAAAAAAAAAGCAACCAGGTGATGTGTCAGTACCCCAGATGGGACTCGAACCCACAATCCCCGGCTTAGGAGGCCGGTGCCTTATCCATTGGGCCACTGGGGCGTTCGTCAACACGATGGCAAAGTACATACAACAAACCAATGCTAACAGAACGGCTCACATGAGAATTACAGTGCTAGCGAAGAACACGAAAGAAAATCGACTGTACATAAATAGCTATATGCATTTATATGAGTCAGCGCTTTATATACATACGCTTCATTTCAACAGAACAGCGAGAACTAAATACCTATGTATGTATGTATGTAATAATGAAAAGCAGCTGCTGATAAACAAGCCAAAAACGTTCACCGCACAACAGACAGACAATAGCAATAGTAGCTGACGACATGACGCGCTCTATGCTAAGGCAAAGTAGAACCCGCTTTTATTGATTTACCAACGAACAAACTTATGTACATATATGCGAGTGAGTAAATGCATACACATCAGCCGTAGGCGGGTAGCGAACAACGAACGTCTGCATAGCGTACGCTTCTCGTCGAATCTACCTTTGTTACCTAGCAAGCAATTGTACGTACATTAGGGATGTTGATTTTTTCGCTTTTTACGATCCCGGAATTTTCGGGATGTCGTTATCACAATCCCGGGATCTCGGAATTTAGATATTCGTTACTTTCCAATAGGTAACTTAAATTGAAAAAATTGCTTCTTTATTGTTTGCGAAGCTCCCTACCATAAAATAAATAATAAATAAATGGGTTTGAAACCTACTTTTTTTATTTTAGATGACGTTTTTATTTCTTCCCTCTGACGTTAGGATTTATTTTGAAAGACTGTAATTTCGAAGATAAGATTAATTCAAAAAATTATTTTAAAAATTCAGTGCAACGTAGAAGAAAAATATGGGTACCAGATGAAAAAAGAACTTTCTTTAGAAAAAAAATAATAATAAATAAAATAATAATAAAAAATAGGTAATTTTTTAAGCTTATAAAGTTAGAAGCACGAAATTCGAGGATGTTATCGATTTTATTTAAGTTCTTAACATATAATTTTTTCAAAAACTAATATAGCGAAATTTCAAGGGTAAAATTTGTAAAAGGACATTTTCAATACTTGCCAGTCCTAATGCTCAAAAAACTTAATTTTTTTAAATTCCACAGATTTTTTTTTTTTAATTTGATACCCGTACTTCTCTAAGCACATTTCACTGAATTTTTTAAATCATTTTTGAATTACTGAAGAGTGAAAAACTAAAAACGCAATTTTACTATATTAAGCCCATGGTTTCGCGAATATATTGATTTTTTGTGTGTAAAATTTGGTATCGCACGGTGTTACATGTATAATGAGCTAAACATTTATAAAAAAATATTAACTATTAAATAAAACAGAAATATAGCCAATACTGGTCAAGAAAAGGAGTTTCGATTATTGCCATCAGTGCGAATTACAAATCCCGAAAATTCCGGGATTATTTGCCAAATATACCAGGATTTTCGGGACCTAAAAATGGCCGGAATCCCGGGATTAAAATTCTTAATGTACATATATGTATATGTATACACATAATTAAATATATTGCACGTATACATGCCGGCACACAAATTCATATCTACATACATAAAGTGTATAACAGAGTGTGCTCTAAGTATATAGTACCGAGTTAGCAGCACCCGCGTACGGGAAGCAGCTTGCTTGGCAAGCAATGGCTAGCATTACAGAATGCGAAATCACACAGAATGGAAATACAGGGTGGTCCAAATAACACCTATCATCCATAGTTCATAGGTCCATAGTTTGCCTAGCAGTGTGCGTAGTCGCTTCATCTTGTTGGAACCACAAATTAAGATGCTGCTCTGCTGTTGGCCGCAAAAAGTTGTCAATAATTGTTCTGTAAGAAGCTCCGGAAATCGTTTCTGGCGTTTCATCCTCATTCTCGAAGAAATATGGGCCGATAACTTTTTCGACCATAACACCGCAAAAGTTGTGTGGTGTATGGCCCTTGGATTTGCAGAGCCCCCCAATCTACAGTTTTGCTTGTTGAAGCGCTTCATCCGACATCAAAACATTACCTCAAAAATCAATTTGAGTGGCTAATTGTGTAAAACGAATAGCGTATTGTAGTCGTTGTTGGTGGTCTTGCTGTAAGTATATATTAAGATTTGCCAAGTGATTAACTATAACATGCAGAAAGAAAATAACAATATTAAAAAAAAGAAGTTATACGTGTTTAACATTGGTAAGTCTTACTTGGCCCATCCTGTATATACTCTGTTGAAACTAAAACAACAAAGCAAAGTTCAGGTAAACATGAGAGTATTAAAATTTATAAAGGGTTATCCGTTTTGCGTTTTCTATATTTGATATATTTACATGCATATGTACATATGTATGTATAAGTATTTTAATTGAAATGATTTGAATTTTGCCATAGGTACATTTGTATGTACATACTGAACGGTATCTTGGTCATAAATTGACGAATGATGGGTTTTCAAATACTCCAGAGTTCGATTTTTATTCGCATAAACACGTTCTTCGCATGTGATATTTGGTATGCGTTTGTGAAAAATATACCCATATTCGCTTGAATGGTTGCTTAAGTGGGATGGAGTGGCAAATGAAAAATACCCATCTTTCACTGATTCAGTATCTGCAAGTTTCTTTACAATTTCACCAATTGATTTGCTATTTGGACGATTATGTGCTCCATAAACTCATCTTAAAGCGTACTCGTAATAGTAGGTTTTAATAGTTTTAATGCAATCCATTTTTAGAAATGCTAGACAGCGTTCTAGTTTCGAAACCACCAAATGGATCAGGCTGTACACATTTACATAACTGCGGTCGGATGTTGAATATTGGGGTTGTAATAATACGAGTAAGTTGGTAGCCGATAAGTCTACCGGAATTGTGAACACGATGGTGTTTGCCATTCACAAATACAAGTGGAAATACATAGTACCTATCCCAGCTAGCAAAAAATACGAAAATGGATCCGAAAAGGATTTACAAGGATTCCATTTTCGGATACTTTGACGTTCCGTTTGCCCACTAAAGTGTTCGACAGAAACGTATGTATGTCTGTACATAAAATAAATGATTGGAAACAGATACGGTTTTGGCTGTTTTTTTTTTTAAGCTTTCTGCTGGAATTTTTTGTTGAATATGCTTTTCTTCTGCACTTCACAGATGATCTTTCATACTTTGGGAAAAAATTACGACTTTAATTGAAATTTTTACTAGCCGTGGAATTCGATCCCACTCCTCTCGGCTCGCTTATTCCGCGATACTGCTGTCTAGCAGGGTGCAACTTTGAACTTGCCGTCAGTCAATGCGACCCTGATTCGCCGCTGTGCGAAGACTATGATTATCATTGTTAGGATAACTGCAACTAATCATCGTTTAGGTAGCCAAGATTTCGTTAGATTTACCTACATACATATCTAAAAAATTATGTATGTATGGTGTATAGTTTTGACAAAAAGATTGAAATATATAGGGTCGCACATAATTTTTAGCTAAAAGCAGATAGGTACATGCATATGTTTGTATGTATGTACCACTTTACAGCTGTAAAAAACTTATGATTGTTCTACGATTTTCGTAAGTAACAGCTGTTCCCAACTAGGGTATCAAATTGAGTTCCACTTATTATGTACACACACTATTCGTACAGAAGTATGTAGAGGTACATATGTATGTCTGTTTTCGCTTTGCTATCGTTGCTGAGCGTTAGAATCAGTGATCGGACTTATACCACATTGTGGTAGATCTGCCACTTTTTTGAGCATCTACCACATCTCCCACAAAAGGTCTGAAATCTACAACATTTTCGCGTTTTTGAGTAGCTTTATTTTTGCTCGACATAATTTCCTTAATTTTAAGAGCAAAAACTTTCCAACACTAAACTCTAACAGAATTAATAGCGAAAATGTTAAAAAACGGCGATTTTTGTGATAGTATTAGCGTTGTTTACTTTTGCTTGAGAATTGTCAAAATCGGCAAATCCCAAGTATCGGTTTCTGGAACGTGCCACATTTGTTCGTTACATCGTGATGTGATAAAAAGAAAAGGTGGCAGCCCTCCGCAAGGTTGCAGAAATCTTTCAAAATATGTTCGAAAAATATCATGATATGGAAGGAACTGCTTGCTTTAAAAAATTGCCAAAACTCAACGCAATTTTTAGCAACTTCAATCTTGCACTTTATTATACTAAAATTAATTTTTTTTGATTATAATTAAAATGTTTGCAATTTAGGTGAAACCTTACAGAATTTTGTTAATTTTTGTACAAAGTTTGATCCAAAACCTGAGATCTACCACATTTTTTTGAAATCTACCACATTTTTTCCCAGATTCTACCACACAAATTTTTTTGTAGTCCGATCACTGGTTATAAAACGCATTTAATTAGTTTTATTTTTATTTTGTTTCAAGTATTTT